TCGAGTCTGATGAGGAATTCATGAATGCTACAACTCCACACCCCCCTGCACTCCGCTAGTTGTTTTTGTTCCCAAATTAAATCACAACTCAAAATCATCCAAAGCAAATTGGTCGTTTTCTTTGTATGGCCTCTGTTTGACAAAGGGACAAAAATATAATTTTTAATTTTTAACAATGAGTCGTGAATTTTTCAATGGAAGATTTAATCAACCAATGAACTAAGTATTTTCCATAACTAAAATTTTAGAAACAAATATGAGTTCCCAACCATCAAATATTGCAATGTATTTTTATACTCTAAATTTTTTTGAAAGAGTCTATTCATTAAGTTACATATCTGATTAAAAAATCAGAGATTGGAACTCATAATTTTTTAGTTAGAGACAGGTAGGTTAGTTGAACTAAATTTATATTGATAAATTAATATATTTAATAATAAAAACATATTAAACATATACAATCAATTTTAATAATAAAAACATATGTCAGGAAATTGGATGATTACTAGAGGGCTTAAACTACTAAGCCAGTTGTGGTTAGGTATATATCTGAAGTTGACTACATTAAATTTTTATGCGTAGAAAAGAGAAATGTATGAATGATGTTGAGTGCTGATGACCACCATTCTTTTTTTTTTTTTTATTATTTTTAATATATATATATATAAGTAGGAGATAGAGAAGAGAGTTAGAAGGAAGATGCTTTTTATATTTTTCAGAAAAATAAATGCCGTCATATATATATATTTTTTTCCTTTGACAACAAGTGCTATCAAATTTTGAGGGGTGATTATAAGAAAAATAATTGTTGTTTCTGAAGTGGTAGTTAGCAAAGTAGGGAAGTATTATTCTTATTCTTATGAAATAAAATAGTGTTAAGAGAGTGTGAAAGGTTTGGAATTTTCTCAAAACCCAAAATAGTTTAGGTGCAAACTGAACAATAATGTGTCAAAATGAGCATAACTCAATAGTAATTGACATATATCTCCAATCAATAAGTTGTGAGTTCGATCCCTTACCCAACAGATTGTACTAAAAAAAACTGAAGAGTAATGTTTTTCCTTTGTTAAAATCGATTCCAAATCCAACCAATGCGGCCTGATTTATGTGGATTCAATTTTGATCCAATTTTGTTTTCAAAAATGAAAAATGAAATTTATGGTATATGTTAGTCGGTCGGTATCAATTTTAGCATAAAATTGACAACAAATGTTGATTCTTCGACTTTGGTCTATCGAAAATTTGTGGGTTTCTAATTTTTGTACAAATCGACTAATTGACCGTCCGTTAGATCGGTAGATTTTAGTCAATTTTTGGTAGGTGTTAGAGAAGAAGTAAACTATTTTGCGGCTGTATAGCTGAAAAGAACAAGATGCAGAGAACTAAGAGACAGATGGAGAGGAGGGTAAAAGAGGAGAGAGATGAAGAGAGAAAGTTAGAAGAAAAATGAGAGCAAAGATGATATATAAAGAAGAGAATAGAGAAATGAGAGAGAAAAAAAGGGAGGGAGTGAAGTTGAAAACAGATTAGAGAGAGCATTAAAATGAAGAGTTGGAGCTGTGTCTTCAACCAATTATGGTTAATATATGTTCATTTTAGTAGGCTAGAACTACTTTTTCAAATTCACCGATCAATATCATTTGTTCACCTTTATTAATATTTAAAATAAGTGGGAGTGGAATGACGACCAAAACTATAACAAATTTAAAGAGAGAAATATTTGAGAGCTCAATGTCTCGTGGAAATATGCGTGGGTGATGATATCATTAGATATTTAATTTTAATTTAATTTGTTAATAACGGTTGAAATAAAATATTGGTAATCTATATTTTATATACTTGGTTTATTATTTAATATCCATAAAATTATTTAAGATTCGAACTCATGAGTTCTTGATTAGAGACAGATAAATTTCAGAAGGGAAATATCAATAAAATTGTTAAAATAAAATTACTAGTATTAAATATTATAATAACAAAATTTAATACTATTTTATATTAATGA